TCAGCCAGCTCGGCAGGGGCAGAGCAGGCCCTTGGGGGCAATCCCTCAGGGACGCTTCCCCCGGCCCCGCAGAGGTGCTCATTCCCAGTGGCGTTTGCTCTCTCCCCTCCAGCATGCCTGCTGTGTCGCCGGGCAGAGGCTGACCCGGCTCTCTGCGGGGCCAAACTGGAGAAGCGAGGGCTCTGTGCCCACGTGTTTTGCCTGGTGAGTTACGCCGGGGCTCCCTCCAGCTTGCCGACAGGCAGTCCCTGCCACGCTCTCCTCAGCAGCTCCTCCTCTTTTCTCTGCTGCAGCTTTTTGCCAGCGGGCTTTTTCAGCGAGGGGGCAGGGAAGCAGGACTCATGGGATTTCTCCCCGAGGATATTCGACGTACAATCGCGCAGGCAGCGCAGAAGGTGAGCACCTGACAAGACCGGGGAGATCTGTGCCGGGAGAGGTTTGCGGGACCCTAGCCTGGATCCGAGAAAGAAATCCCAGCCCTTCCGGCCGGCTCTGGGGCAGGAGTCTTGCTCCCAGCAGCTCCACAGAGGCTCCAGCACAGGAGCCTCGTCCGACAGGCGCATCTGCGGGGTGTGACCCAGCAGCGGCCACATCCTGCGCCCTGCCCGGAGGCGTGGGGCTGGCCGCGGCGGCCCTGGGGCTGCCGCTGATGGGGGCTGCTCTGCTCTTTCCAGCACTGCTTCGTCTGTGGCGAGAGCGGGGCCGCCATCTCCTGCCAGGAAACAGGCTGCCACCGCAGCTTCCATCTCCCCTGTGCCGTGGAGGGTGGATGCGTCACCCAATTCTTTCGGCTCTACAGGTAAGGGCAGCTGGCCCCCACAGGGGAGGCTGCTTGCTTTCAATCCTCTTCCTGCCAGCATCAGCCCAACAGGGAAGGAACCCGCAGTGACATTTCAGAACAGCCAGTCTCAGGCATAGCCACAGCCAGACAAGATCTGGGGCTCCTTCACACCTCGTCTCCCCTCCTTGCCGCCACCCGGGGAAGGAGCCAGCGCTTCTCACCTCGCCCATCCCTTTCCTCTTGCCCCCAGGGCCTTCTGCTGGGAGCACCGCCCAGAGCAGGCAGTGGAGGCGGCTCCGGAGGAGAACACCATCTGCCTCATCTGCCTGGACCTTGTGGAGGAGAGAAAGTCCTACGGCACCATGGTGTGCCCAGCGTGCAAACACGCCTGGTTCCACAGGGGCTGCATCCAGAATCAGGCTATGCACGTTGGCTTCTCCTGCTTCCAGTGCCCACATTGTCAAAATGAATATCGATTTCTGATGGAAATGCTCACCATGGGGATCCGAATCCCCAGGAGGTTGGTATTTTTTCTTCACAGCTCAAAAGTGAGGAGGATGCAAGCGCTGTGCCCTGCCAGGGGCTGCCTCAGCAGTCCTGGCCCTCTGCTGTCAATCTGGGCTTCAGCTTCACGGAGGAGCTGGAAATGGGGCAGGGGGGGATGCGCAGGGACGCCCTGCATCTCCCTTATGCCGGGGCAGCAGGGTCTCATCAATTTTCCCTTCCTTCACAAATAGAGGACCATCATGGGAGGATGATGGTGCCTACGAAGAATTATATGAGAGGCATAGCCGCTGCGATGCCAGGGAGTGCCTTTGTCCCGGAGGCAGGGAGCAGGCAGAGCAAGAGGGGTAAGTTGCCAAAGCTGCACCCCGGGGCTCTGTACGGGAACCCTGTCTCGCCAAGGGCTCGAGGCGCAAGGACCGAGACCGAGAGCTCGGCCGGACAATCCCGTGCTGCGGTCACTTTGTCCTCACAGCCATGAGCACGTTTGCTTCCCCAGGCCCTGGCAACTGCTCCTGTGCTGCTCCTGCGCTGCCGAGGGCACCCACAGACGCTGCTCCTTCATGAAGCATAGCACAACTAGCTGGGAGTGCGACGCGTGTGCTGGCCTGGGCACCGGTAAGAGGCAAAGCACCCGGCTGCCCCTGGGCTGGGGCCAGGGGCCAGGCAAGGCCTGGCAGCGGGAGCCCAGGGTGGGCCTGGCAGAGCCTCTCTGCTCTAGGAGGGCTGGGGGCACCGCTCTGGCCTATCCTGCCCCGGGCCTGGGGGCCGAGCCCTTGACCTTCCTGCTTCCCCTTACAGCCTCCAGTGCCAGCTCGGAGCTCGCCGGCCCCAGCACTGCCAGCCAGGCAGGATCGGGGCAATCGCTCAGGTCTCCGGAACCGGAGACCAGCAGCCCCAGCACCGCCAGCCAGCTGCCAGCGGGGTCCTCCTCTGGCTCCCCAGCACTTGAGAGCAGTGGAAGCTCCAGCCCCCCTGGGCCCGTGCGGATGCCAGACCGCTCCCGCTTGCAACGCCGGGCCCAACATCCCTACAGCCGGCCCGGACGCCGCCATGGAACCAGCCGTGCGCCATCCCCGAGCGCTGGTCCTGATCCCCCTCCACCCGTACAATAAAGTTGGCCGTTAATCTCTGTGCTGGGACATTCCACGCTCATTCGTCAGCTTCCTCCTCCTCCTCCACCTCTCCCTTTCTTGGGGGGCAGCCTTAGGGGCTGGGCCCAGAGCGTTGTCTTCTCCCTGGCGGTTGGCAGCACCTTCCCCAGACCTCCCTCCTCGCGGGCTGGCCTTGGCCGGCTGCCCCGCGCCATGGCCGTGGGCTTCGGACCTCGCTGGCCCCGCAGCCTGCTCGGTTGCCCCGGGGGAAGTTCACGCCCACCCCCGGGACCGGGGATCTCTGTCCCTGGCCCCGGGAGGGCGGCCCGGCCCGGGACGGCCCGAGCGCGGAGCACGTCCCCCGGCGCGGCACGGCCCGCCCGGCGCTGCCG